CTTTGAGGCAAAAAGGTTTTACTTTTGATGAAGTCCAATTTGTCTATATTTTCTTTTGTTGTTTGTGCTTTGTAACATCTAAGAAACCACTGCCTAATCCAAGGTCATGGAAAATTTATGCCTATGTTTTAAGAGTTTTATAGTTTTAGTTCTTACATTTAGGTCTTTGATCCATTTTGAGGTAACTATTTTATATTGCATGAGGTAGGGGTCCAACTTAATTCTTCTGCCTTTGGCTATCCAGTTGTCCCAGCATCATTTGCTGAAAAGACTATTCTTTCTCCATCGAATGGTCTTAGCACCCTCATTGAAAATCAGTCCCCATAAACTGAGGGTTTATTTCATAGCTCTCAATTCTGTTATACTGATGTACATGTGTATCCTTATGCCAGTACCACAACGTCTTGATTACTGTAGTTTTGTAGTACGTTTTGAAATTGGGAAGTGTGAGTCCTCCAATTTTTGGGGTTTTTTTCGAGATTGTTTTGGCTATTCTGAGTCCTTTTAATTTCTAAATGAATATTATGATCAGCTTGGCAATTTCTACAAAGAAGCCAGTTGGAATTTTGATGCAGACTGCACTGAATTGGTACACCAATTTGGGAAGTGTTGCCATCTCACCAATATCGAGATCCAATCCATAAACATAGGATGTCTCCCTGTTTACTCAGGTCTTCTTTAATTTCTTTTAACAGTGTCTTATATTTTCAGAGTGTAAGTTTTACGATTCTTTTGTTAAATTTATTGCTAAGTATTTTTTTTTGATGCTATTATAAACGGAATTGTTTTCTTAATTTCATTTTCAGAGTGTTAAGTCTATAGAATACAGTTGATTTTTGCCTATTGATGATCAAGCTTCAAGCTTGCCGAGCGTGTTTATTAGTTCCAAAAGTTTTTTAGTATATCCTTTACGGTTTTCTATATACACGATCATACCATCTGCAAATAGAGATAGTTTTACTTCTTCCTCCCTTTAATAATTAATTAATTTTTGCTTTTGCTTTTTTTTTTTCGGTGGCTGGCCATTATAGGGGTCTGAACCCTCTCTTTTATTTTTGAAGGACAGGTTTGCTGGATATAGAATTCTTGGCTGATAATCTTTTTTTTCAGCACTTTGACTACAATCCCACTGCCTTGGCCTTCATGGTTTCTGATAAGAGATCAGCTATTAATTTTATTAAGTATATCTTATATGTGAAGAGTCATTTTTCTAATTCTCTTCTTTCCACAGTTTGAGTACGATATGTCTAGGTGTAGATCGCTTTTAAGTTTACACTACTTAGAGTTTGTTAAGCTTCTTGGATTTACAGATTACTGTTTTTCATCAAATTTGGGGGTTTGGAGCCATTATTTCTTCAAATATTCCTTTGCCTCTTTCTTTTCTCTCATTCTAGAATCCCCACTATGCCTATGTTGGTATGCTTGATGGCATCCCACACGTCTCTCAGTCTCTCTTTATCTTTCTTTATTCTTTTTTCATTCTGTTCCTCAGACTAGATAATCTCAACTGATCTACCTGCAAGTTTGTTGATTCTTTTTTCTGCCTGCGCAAATCTATTAAGCCACTCCACTGAATTTTTCATATCAGTTATGATACTTTTCAACTACAGAACTTCTACTAGGTTATTTTTAATAATTTCTATTTTTTATATTCTCTATTTGGTAAGACATCATTCTCATACTTTTCTTTAGTCCTTTAGACATGGTTTCCTTTCATTCTTAGAATACATTTAAATTAGCTAATTTAAAGTCTTTGTCTATTAAGTCCCATGTCTGGGCTTCCTCAAGGACAATGTCTATTGATTGCGTTTTTTTTTTTTTTCCCCTTTGCATGCCTATACTTTCTTGTTTCTATGTATGTCTTGTAATTTTTTGTTGAAAACTGGACACTATAATGTGGCAATTCTGGATATCAGATTCTTTCCCCTCCACAGTTTGTTGTTGCCATTACTGTTGTCTGTTTAGTGACTTTTCTAAACTTATTCTGTAAAGTCTGTATTCACTGTCATTTTGTGACCACTAAAGTCTCTACTCATTAGCTTAATGGTCAGCTAATGACTGGACGGAGATTTCCCTAAATGCCTAGAGCTAATAAATCTTCCAGTCTTTGCTGAGAGGCTCTGTGTACAAGTTGGAGCATATCTTTAACACTCACCCAAGCAGTTTACAATTCTACCTTAGCCTTCACTTCCTGCTTACACAGAGCCTCCAGATCAGCCAGAGGTGAGAACTTAGGGTCTTCTCAGGTCTTTATTAAGCACATGCGTAGCCTGGACACACATTAAGACCTTCTAGATTCCCAGGAATATCAAAGCTTTTCAAAGCCCCTATAGAATCCCATTCCCCAGCTTCTCCTTTTAAGCTTTATGGCAAGCCTATCATTTGCCCCAACTGCTATCCACTGCCTCAGGTAGCTGCAACCTTCAACAATTGCCTCTAATTGTTTTTGACAAATGCCCCCTCCCCGCCCTGGCACCGTATGTGATAAAGCTTTTCATACTGGGTGAGCTCCACGTCAGGCAATATAATAACAGCCCTGTGAGAGAGATCTCCCAGGGATCCACCAAACTGTCAAATAATGACAGTTCTCTTGGAGTGAGCACTTGAAGGAGCTCCAGTCCTGTTCTGCCTCTTCTGGTCACTGCTGAGCTATTTGTTTTCACCATGACTGTGGGCTGCTGGCTTTCAAGACTACTGTGGAACTAGGGAGGAAGAGATGGGAATAGGGCAAGTTAACATGCCACAAAACTTCCTGTTCTTACTGAGTCGCAACCATTTTTCTTGCATAAATACTCCCCAGATTGTTGCAAGCCTCTGGTTCATATCCAGAGTTCTAGAAAAGTTGATTCTGACAGTTTTTGCCAGTTTTATCACTAATTTTAAGGAGGAGAGAATTTTTGAAGGTGTCTAGTCCACGATTTTCGCTGTCACCCCTCTTTATTTTTTATCTACTTGTTCTGTCAATTACTGTGAGAGAGGGATGTTGACATCGCCACTTACTTGTGGATTTGTCTCTTACTTCCATGAGTTGTCACTTTTGCTTCATGTATTTGAAGCTCTGTTACCAGGTGCTTACACATTTAGAATTATTAAATCTTCTTATAGGCTTAATCTTTTATTATTTAAAAAATGCCCCATTTTATCTCTGGTAATACTTCTTGACTTGAAGTCTGCTTTGTCTGATATTAATATAGCCACATGAGATCTGTTGCTTGCATATGCCAAACACATAGAAAACCAAAATCAATTTATACTCAGCTTTTTGTTTTTTGGGTGTTCCCCCCCCCCCGCCTCCCCAGAATCAATTTATACTCAGATATAAGGGGATAATTCTGTTATTCAGCAAGCAATGTCACTTAGACCTAATGTCAGGCTTTTGGGCCCTAAAATCTCCCTTTAATGCTGCTTGTACTGTAGGACCCAGAAGCATTCATTTAGGTCCACAAAAGGACAGGCCTGGCTATGGTCTTCCATAGTAGCCCTCTGACATTCATTCCTGTATATACCAATTTTAGAAATTCTGGTCCACACCAAATTATCTAGGCTCAGAATTCTGTTATTGAGCCATGTGGGTCCATAGATACCTTCCTTTTCAGGCTTTTCATATGACCAGGTTGACATCTGACTGTCCAGGCCAGCTGAAGGTTCCCACAGCACTGAAAATTCCCATTCCATAGTATAAGCAGTGAAGAGATCTAAACCAGGAATCTGGAGACCTGAAGTCTAGTTCTAGCTTTGTATTGAACACAAGTGTGGGGCAGCATTGCACAGTGGCTAAGAGCATGGACTCTGGAGCCAGACTGCCTGAATCTGAAGCCCTAATACACCATGGTTGTGTGACTTAAACAACTTCCTAATCTCTCTGTGCTTTAGCTACCTCACTAGTAAGAAAGTTATTACAATAGTTCCTACTGTACAGGGCTATTGTGTGGTTTAGATGGTTTAACACAAGTAAAATTATTTAAACAGCATCTGGAACATATACACAGTAAGTGCTATCTAAATGTTGGACATTATTTTGGGCAGTGATGGTATTCTGTTGTTTTTATCATCATTTTAGCTGATATATGCCAGAAATACAGCATTTCATCAGCAAGATATACCTGTTTTCATGCTAGAAGTTGTAATTATTGTAGGAGCTTAAGGTTTTGTTTAAACATTTAACTGTCCTTTCCCCTTCTCTCTTTCAAGAGCTTTACACAATGTGCAAACTAGACTATGGCAGTCTTATGTTATTTCATATTTATTCAAATCATAATAACAGCCCCTATTTATCAAACCCTTACTAGATGTTAGGAAATGTACTAACAAATATATATATACACACACAGGTGTATACTTAATCCTCATAATCCTTGTAAAAACCTTTGAGGTCCATATTATGTTCCCCATTTTCAAATATAGGACTGAGTTTCAAAAACATCAAGAACTTGTCCAAGGTTATACAGTTCAGTAGTGGCAAAAGCAGTATGAAAACCCAGATTTATTGCAACATCTTCCTCTGTCTCCTATCTGGAATATTCTTCTCCCCCACCATCATTCGGCCAAGTAAATTCCTGTTCAGTCTTCAGGACATCAGGCTCACGCATCACCTCTCTCAGCAAAACTTCTCTGTCTGCTATCACCATCTCTCGCCACTCTTGGCCGGAGCACACTTAGATACCACTATTATATACATCTACTATATACACCATACATTGATTACTTCTATCATATTACAACCCTCTATTTACTTGTTTACTTGTCTGTGTCCTCCACAGAGTTTCAAGAGTAGAGACTGGTTTGGGGCTTTGTTTTTAAAGAGGAAAAAGTCCACAATGACCTAAGAAACATAATCTGGGGAATGTCAATTAATGCTAATTAGAAAATGCCAATTGGCTGCTGACTGTGACCAACCTTCAGCTTGTCTGCTTTAGCCCTCATTTCCAGAAGCTTCTTCTCTTTGGCATCTATCTGCAGCCCCTCATCACACCAGTTCACAGCCTCGGCAAAGTGTTTCAGTTCCAGATGGCATAAGGCACCTGCAGAACCCAAAACCCTTAGGATCCAGGAACAACATGCATAGAAAGAGCTCACCTGAGCAGGACCTCACACCCACCACCCACCCAACCAGCTACCAGTCAGCACCATGAAGGGAAAATGGAGCATAAAGCCCTTGCACTGTAGTCCCAGATAAGAAAGAATATTTTTTGTATCCTAGATCAGAAAGATCCCTAAGACCCATTCAGCTCAAATTCCTATAAGCCTCCCCAGTACTAAGGACTCTTAAAGTAGGTAAGGCTATAGCTTAGTGGCAAAGAACATAAGCTTGGGAATCAGACTGATCTGGACTGAAAATCTGGCTCTGTCATCTACCAACTAGACCTTAGACAAAGGACCAAGCATCTCTGAGTTTTAAATTCCTCATCTACAAATGGGAAGAATAAAGGCCATCTCAGATGATTTTTAAAGACAGAGAAAGAAAGCAGAATTTGCCCCAGCCATTCACCAAGGTAATGGCAAGAGCCAAAATAGCAGGTCTAATTCTATTCTTTATAGCTACCTGTTTAAGCTGTGTCTCCTTTCTATTAAAACATTTTTAATGTAATTGTGTTCATTTTTCTCCAGTTACCCTCTTTAGGCTTTCCACAGAATTTCAAAATATAAGAATTGTAAGGGCTTAGATGTCAACAGAATCTAACCCCATCTTCCAGAGATGAGCAATTGATACTCAGAGTGGGTGTCTTGCCAAGGTCACACTGTA